ACTGAATAGACACATGCTCATACTGCAAACAACTTCAGCAATCTACAATTTTTATTACATCTGGGACTTCATTTTGTACACTACTCGCATGATCAAAATACATACCTCCAGCTAAGTTCACACCACCCCATACACCAGTCTATATAACCAGAACCACCGGTGAATTCCCCTGTGGTCTTTGAGAATTTCCTTCAGAACAATGAGAGTACTGAAGACCACCAGATACCAGGCCAGTCCCTCCCTTCCCTCCTCTGGCCTTGTCATGACCCTCTAACTTAACCTGTCCCTAGTCTTAGGAGTGTGGCCAGTGTGCGGAGGGCAAGTTCAGAGGTCATGAAAGATGAGCCAATCTCTCTCCAATGGGGTTGAGGTCATCTGGAGGAATCTGTAGACACATTCCTAGCAATGTCCCAGCCATAGTGTCCTCCACAGGACCATGGTCAGCACTTCCTTGCCCACTAAAGCCTTTGTCTCTCTCACAGGATTTGGTGGCCTGGGTGACAGTGGGCTTCTTGCACAAGGCTCCTTCTGAGGTTGTCCCCAACATGGCCTCACCTGGAAACTTCATAAGCTTCTTGCTCCAGCCTTTCAATTTCTTCTATATCACTATATCATTTCTTCAAGGACACCCAGGATCAACAGACATACCAGACACTGGATCCTCAGGCACAAGGTCTGCCTGATGCCTCTTCCTTTCAACCTCCATAGGACCTACAACCCTTCGTCGTGTCCAGTCCCATCTCTGTCTAATAGTCTGAGCCCCACAAGGACAGATAGTAAACCCTTAGCTTCCACCACACCTGCTACTTCCTAGAACTGTGGAAGACATGGGCCATATACTAAGATGGGTGGCTTTGGGATGGATTCATGTTTTTCTAGTGTACCCCAAAAGACCTCCATGTCCAGGGCAAGGGGAGCCAAACAAGATAGTAAATTATTGTGTTAAATGAGTTTTTCCACTGTGAGGTATTCTGTTCGGATCCCTTTCATGGAAACTCTAGGTGAATTTCCCCACCTCACTGATGGTATACCTAAGGAAGCTGTATATGTGCAGCTACTTGTATGTGGATGTATGCATATGCACATGTGTGCGCGTGTGTATGTTCATGTGTTTCCACTCCAGCCACATAATGAGTAGCTGGCCAAAAGCCACCCCTTCCTTTATCCTGTTTTTGCCAGTTGACCAATGGTGCTGTGCATGCAGTGGGGACTCAGTGATTCTTGCTGAGCGGGAGCAGAGGCAGCTGGGGGCCCACATGAATAGGACACTGAGGAGGCTTCGGGAAAGCCAGGAGAACAAAGGAACAAGAGGGTCACTCCAGGGCGTCCTGAGGGGACAGAGGACAGCACCACCAAGAGGTGGGTTGCAGGGAGTGGACATGTCTCTGAGCTGAAGCAGGAAGAGTCACTGACTGCTTAGTTCTCCCTTACCCTAGGGCTCCCTTGCCACTGTGTCCCTCCCCCTGTCACCCACTTACATCAGAGGAGAGGGTTCTAAACTGCCCTTCCTCATCTTCTTCCTCCTGGGCAAAGCAAAATGACATTTGGAGATAAGAGATTGAAAGGAGGGAGGTCAGCCATGAAGGACATGGAGACACAGGGAAAACACGCTCCCTTCTGTAGGACTTGGGCTGTCTAGAATGAATGCAACAGATCAATGGTAGGCAGAGGTGGTTCTGCCATGGGGAAGGGGTGGAGGGAGAGGCAGGGAAAGCTCCACTAAGAACACTCCCCAACACTGTGATGGCAGGTACCTGTCATTACACACCCATCTTAGTACATGGCCCATGTCTTCCACAGCTCTAGGAAGTAGCAGGTGTGGTGGAAGCTAAGGGTTTACTATCTGTCCTTGTGGGGCTCAGACTATTAGACAGCAGACGGTACTGGACACGACGCAGGGTTGTAGGTCCTATGGAGATTGAAAGGAGGAGGCATCAGGTAGACCTTGTGCCTGAGGATCCAGTGTCTGGTATGTCTGTTGTACCTGGGTGTCCTTGAAGAAATGATATAGTGATATAGAAGAAATGCACAGCAAGATAAACTTTGGCACACATTATGGGTTTGGGGTGGCAATGGTTGTGTCTCTATGGCTCAGCAGTTGTTACACATGGACCATACTGGTGGATGCTGATAGTGGGGAGGCTCAGGGAAAGCATCAGAGACACAGGGTAGCTCTCTATTCCTCCCTCCTCCTCAAACAGCTATGATGCTAAAACTCCTCTAAAAACTGAAGTGTGCGGACCCATCAGCACCCTGTATGGGAGGAAGAGGGAGTCACGGGCCTGTTCTTCCCTGGGGAGCTTTAAGCAGTTCACAGTTGCTGGAGTCATAGTCCTTAGTGATGAAGCCACTGATAAATGACTCCTGTCAAGTAAATAGTCATCAATGTGCTTGTGCAAGCAACCTCACTAACTCAGTGAGCGACAAGAAAAGAGACATGAAAGTAGGAAAGGGGATTGTTGGGAGAAGGAAGCCACTGAGTTTCCATAGGAGGGGAAAATGGATTGATGGTTAAAGTACATGTTATAGAGATGTGAAGATGTGAACAAACAAACAAATTTTTAAAAGAACAAGAAATCTGAGTTGGGTATGGTGCTGCATGCTTTTAATCCCAACACTTGAGAAGCAAAGGCAGGCATATTTCTGTGAGTTCAATAGATCAATATAGATCTATTAACAAATATAGATCAATATAACAAATTCCAAACTAGTCAGGGCTATATAGTGAGCCCTATCTCAAACCAAAACATGAAGTCTAGGTCTTCACAAAATCTAGCCCATCAGAACCCTGTCATGGAAAGAGAGAGGGCCTCACTGGGACCCAACCTACCTGAGAATAAGAGAAAGAGAAATTTTCTTCAGTGGTGTATCCTCCAGCAAGTTGCCATAATCATATGTGCATACTCTCTCATGCCATTGTAAGCAACTGTAATAAAACTCATTGGGTCACCAGAACAAAAAGATATGAAGTAAAAGAGGCCAGTTATAAAGTACACAGGGATGTGCAGCAGTTAGAGAGGAACAGGAATTTAAATATTTTATTTACTATTCATTAAGTATATATTTATTTGCTTTATTATATACTTTTGTATATAAATTATATTATGTATATTTGTATAATATATTTACTTAAAAATAAATAAATATTTGTATATATTAAATGTGTTTAAATCAAATCTACTCCCCTCCAAGTCTTTGCCCCATATCACTAATTTTTCCTCCTGAAGGAAACTGACACTCCCTTCCCCAGCACCTATCAGTTACCAACAGTTCCTCAGGCAGTGGTGGGACTTGGTCAGCTCTCCCCTGCTCATGCTAGGATTTGGGCTGGCTTGATTTTGTGCATGTCTGTGTATGCAGTAACAGCAGACATGAGTTCATGTCCCATCATATCTGCAAATACTGGTTCTCTGAAGACTTCTACTCCTTTAGCTCTTACAGTCTTTCTGCTCCCTCTTCTAAGATGGTTCAGGGGCCTGGTAGGGAGGAGATGTAACATAGATGTCCCTTTAGAGCTGAGCATTCCATGCTCTCTTAATCTCTAGATGTTGACAGGTGTGGGTCTACTTCTACCATCTACTTCAAAATGATGTTTCTCTGAGGAGGCATGAAAGATGCACTAATCTGTGGTATAGAGATATGAACTTAGGGGACTGTGTCTATTTAGCAGAACAGTAGTACTAGGTTTTTCACTAGGGCCTGTGACCTAGCCAGCCATGGGGATTTGACCCAGTTAACAGAATCAGGCATAGGATCCATCCTGAACAATATAGCCAATTTGAGACCAGCCAGGGTTATGTGAGACAGTGACTTGAAAGAGAGAAAGGAAGGAAGGGAGGGAGGGAGGGAGGGAGGGAGGGAGGGAGGAAAGAAAGAGAGAGAGAGAGAGAGAGAGAGAGAGAGAGAGAAAGAAAGAAAGAAAGAAAGAAAGAAAGAAAGAAAGAAAGAAAGAAAGAAAGAAAGAAAGAAAGAAAGAAAGAAAGAAAGAAGAAAAA